CTAAAAAACTTAAATTAATAACAATTAACTAACACTTAGGGGTAATACGTAATGAATGACTTCAATCGTTATAATCGTTTTAGGTTGGGTTGCTAAGTTTCCACTTATTTTATAGTTAACTAGTGATTCATAAGTGTTAGGCTAACCTTAGTTTCAACAGAGTAAAACTTAAGTTACGTAGTTAGTAAGAGAGCTGGGAAACCAGCCATTAGTCGTTTATATTGTATAGACGTACAAGGAACATATGGCAGTTGGCAATTTTGTGTAGTAACAATGTCATCTTGAAAGCGTCTTATTTTGATCAATGAGGAAGCAGAAACTTATTGATTTAATTGAGTTTTAGAACATTTATAACACTTTAGTTCTGACAGAAGAATAACATAAAATAACACCTCCAACTAACGCGAAACAAGAATACGGTTTGTGATTACGTTTCTTTTGATTTATTTGTAAACACCATATAATCCGCCGCTGAGAAAACCGCAAGCAATCCGATACACGATTCTCAAATTCATTACGTAAACAAAAAAATCAATTTTATAAACAGATCGCATGGTAAATTATTGAAAGATTATACGATCTTTATACAACAATGAACGTTAAAAACATGCTTCGCACGCATAGTGGTAAAACTTCACTAAGTGGCAGATACTGAAACTCTATCAGAAAAATATTATCGAATATCTTTTGCTCGCGGTTTAACTCAAAAGGAATTATAAAAAACATGTTTTAAATGACATTACCTTATTCATTACATACCAAAATATAAATGTTTCTTCTTTATAATATGAGTATAGATTATAAACATAACATACTAGTTACAAATTAATTAACAAACTTTGTTATAATGTAACATAACTCCGCTCTTGTAAGGTTTCATAAGAAGCGAAATTTTAACATAAACGAAAGCAGTATCGGGTTTGGTTGACCAAAGTATAATGTAGGGAAAATTGGATTACTTCCTAAGGCTTAAAACACGCTTATTCAATTTTAAAACATTACGATACTTAAATACATTTTTGTTGGAGACATAAAAGCAAAATCTACTAAATTCTCAACCACAGAAATATCAAGAAAACATCTCGTAAATGATCGTAGTTTTCTGTTAAATTTCTATGGCGACGTAAACTTGAAATATAAATTTTGCAGGGCAATCTTTAAAAATTTATATGATTATATAGATACGATAGACAAACATAATTTACAGTTCCTTCAAACGTTAGTTTCAAATTCATACAAAAATTAGTATTTACCAAGTTCATCAAAAACAAATGACTTGCTGTAAATCGCAAAATTGTGATTTACGATAGTCTACGTAGGAGTCAATAATTTGTCTGAGAGTTTGTATATCTAAACATAATCTATACTATTATAATAAAGCGTAAACACACACTTCTTTATTGCCTAAGATGTCAGCAATCACAGAATATTTTGGAATAACTCTTTTTTTAATAAAAAGCCCTATACTTACGTATCGCTATCGCTTTAGGCTATTTTTTCACGCCATTAAACTTAGGAGGTAAATATTTTGAACAAAAAATCTAATGTGGGAAAGAGACCATAAATTTCTGCCAACATCAGGAAAGCAAGATAGCTAAGGTTTGTCATGTCATGTCATTTTGACATTTGCTATTAATAATTTGACAAATGTAAACAATAAAATAAAATTTTCATAATTTCATGCGGATGAAGCCGCACGAGAACAGCTAGTCATTTCATAATTCATCAGGTACTTAAAGAAACATCAATCTTTCTGACATCTCCAATTTCACAGCAATTTCAATCTATAAATAGCATAACTTTTGAACTATCTTGTAGGTTAACATTGGCTTGTATGCCCTTGACATTACCCCACCCTGCGCCAAAATGGCAAAACACGCTGGCATATAGAAAAGTTCACCGAATTACGGGTAAATTATATACCAGTTAATAAATCATTGTAACTTTACTTTCCTAATCGTAGATTTTATTAAGTAAAAAAATATATTAACAACCGTAGACAAACATAACCATAGAGGCACATTATTATAAGAATAAGTACCAAATGTGTTAAACCCCTTACTAACCTCACTAATATAAAAAAGCGAAAGCTTAAATGGATGTTTGTTATTTAACATCCCTAAAATAATATGTGCTACTTTTTTCACGCGCGCACAGTCTTGAACAAAAACTAGTCAAATAAACATTATAGATTCATTTTGTATCTGACTGTACACAAACAAGGGCGGGGTTGTTTTCCAATTGGGGACAGTCGTGCACATTGTCTCAAGCGCTGCCCATTGTCACGGATGACTAGCCACGCCTAATTACGTAGGCTATGCTCGGATGATCCGATTCGCTTCCTGTCATATATGGGATAGGTTACCTAACATTCATACTTTCATGACTACAATTAATATATCGTTTTTTTAATAGCAATTAATGATCGTAAAGCCAACTACAGACTCAGTTCTGATTATTTCTCTCAAGAGCTGTATTGTTCAATTAAAACTGACGACTGAAAATTTTGACGTCGTTACACGTTACAATATAACTGTCAGCTGAACTGTTCGCTCAAGTTTTACACACGCACTGTTCAGTTCAGTTTTAATTGAGCAGTTCAACTATTTGAACTGAACGTATGCAGGAAGGTAATAGGCATATTGATAGGCAAAAAGATCTCTATCTCACTATCAAAAAACGCAAAGGACGGAATAAAAGCAAAGGAAAAATCGAATAGCAATAAATACTAGAAAAAATCGTTGTATACTAAATTGGCTTACATAATGTGTTCATTTTTCACTATAAAACTAATACAAACCTGTCAATAATATGAGGTAGGACTGTAGGCACGAAAGCCGAGAAATCTGATCCCATACGCTCCGCCAAAGCCGTCATCACTTCCAGCCCGTTCTGTGCAATCTGGAGACAACACGAATCAATTAAAATTGCACATTACAGCACAAGTTAACACATTACATAAAAAGTCGCTAAGTAAATAGATCAAATCTATACATATAATAAAATAGGAGTGTCTGTTTATAATATCAAGGCAAAAAATCCACATTTCGGGAAGATGATGTATTTGCGTTGCCGATAACAAAAATCGGATTTAACTTTTTTTTTGTCAGTCTGTCTGTCCGCAAGCCGCGTTTGTTCCGGGTAATCTCTGAAACTGCTGGACCGATTTCGAATGGACTTTCCCTGAAGGGTAGCTGACATAGACAGGCTACTTTTTTATCTTAATATTGCGTGGACGAAGTCGCGGGCAACAACTAGCTAGCAAAGGCTGAGGTTTTAATCACACTATGAATGTTTTATAGACAAAATTACCGTTAGAATACAAATATTGTCCCGTCAACAAAACAACCCCCACACCCTGCTAACCTATATAAAGGGCTGTAAGCACAAAGGGACGATAAATAGGCCACCAGTACATACAATGGGATAGGTACGTAAGAGGATGATAGAAAAGTTTTTAAGCTAAGTACGTAAATTCGAGGCATAGCTCGGTTGTTATATAACATGCGGATAGTTCTAAGATACGGACTTACGACTAATTATTAAGAGTCAGTACTAACAAAGTCTTGCAAATTGTCAGATAATGCAACGTGTAAAAGTGATGGAAACATCAGATTTTGTTACTTTATCTGACAGTGATGTAATTTTTAAGTTATCTGAGCCTCTATCAGCAAGTGATGGGACAGGCCCTAAAACAATTAAATAATATGGACTATCGCCTATGCCCTAAAAAAATAGTTCTCGCATGCGGGTGTTACATAGTCACCCTAACTTTAGGGTAGGCTCTGAGCCCCTCGGTGGGAACGTATAGTGAGCTGGTGATGATGCGGGTGTTATGGCATACGTGAACGGGTAATCTCTAGCACCACGTGCATAAGCTAACGACTTACGAAACTACGCCCTTTTAGAGATAGGTCATCCCAAACTAAATGTTAGTTCCATTGTCTTAACACATGTTTAAAAACATATAGTCTCTGTCACTCTCTTTATAAAAACAGAGATAACAGATATTACTACTGAAAACTACAATTGTATAGAACATAAATAAGTTCGCAATACTCACATATTTTAAAATTATCAAACACCATTTTTAAAAGTAAATCATCACTAAAAAAATTAACTAAAAACGTTCGTAATCTGTTTGTACAGACCAACGCGTATACTGCTACTGAGATATGCGTACATCAGCTACGGCTTATTACTTGCAATTCGACTACTTATTCTGATGCTAAACAATAAATTCAATCGTTATTATGAAATTAGTTAATAGGACAATTTTATTTTAAAATAAGTAAACATTTAATTAAAAGAAATCCTATTATCAGGTAAATGACATTAGAGAAATATTGATGATAATCATAGATTTATCTTACAAGAAACTCGAAATGGAATAGAACGAGTTCTCATAACAGAAGGGAGCAAACAGACCGCGGGAAAACCAAAGTGGTCATCGACGCCCATTGACTTGCAACACTAGTGGAACTGATACTTGTCATACAATTTTACTTAATTTCATTAAGGGCTAGTTTCATCAACTATTCCTTGAATTTAAGAGTCCCTTAAATATCATCTATAGAGCCGCTACTATGAATATCATTTTACCAATGTTTAGGTATCACATAAGTTATAGATTTTACTTAAGCAGGAGGATCCTAAACCAAAGAGTTCGTAAAATCTGGCTTGAGTGAAATCGTTTCTACATCGTTGCAGCATAGCTGGATCGCATCAGAATAACGCCATGCGCGATGAAGCTCATCAGATACTGCGAATCAGACTGCGCATGACACATGGCGTCGTTTTGTGTCGTCTGCAAGCGGAATTAGACCGGCTTATTATAGACTTGCATATACACTGAACGCCTACCGCATATATTCACTTATAAACATAATATAGCACTGAAAAGGTTAACTTTCGCGTCGGCATAGTCTATTTTCTCTACTTAAAGGTTAACTCTGACATCGACGTAAGGTAATTTCTTTAGTATACTCGTCTTTCGATACATTACTAGTGGGCAAAAGCTTTGCTGAAGGCCGTATGACGTCTTGTGTTAACTGAAAACACCGTGGGACGAGGTCGGTGATAGTGAGAGAAGGAGTCATCGACAAACTTATTGCGCGGATAAAAGAAGTGACTGAAATGACGAACGATAGATCGCTTTATAGAAAAAAACCAGTTGAATCTACCCGAGATATAGAGGAATAAGCTGCAAATAATAATGAACTAAAAATATTCCGTTATATCTTTGCCATATTCTAGAAATAGCAATCCTGTTTTTTTATTTCTAGTACTTATAGCACGAACCTTTCTTATGCCGACTACATCATATACGTGTTTAATAAAAAATATATCAAAACCTGTTTTATGGGACAATTATAGTCCATAGATATTGCATGTTTAACTGACATTGGTACAACGGCGGATCCTGGGGGGGTCATGACTCCCCCCCTAAGCTGGTTGGTCAAGAGCTTGACAAAATATATTTACATATTTTGTCAAGCTCTTGACTTGACAACGACTATGTGACACCTCTCCCCCTGGCGGAAAAACAGTTGAAGAATGCTAACAATGAAGGCAAAGATATTATTCGTATGTTTAAAGAACAACACTCGACGGATGGGAAAATGGAAACAAAGTCACATATCTGTAGGGAATGTCTTGTACGTAATCTTGTGGCAATTAACATGGTTAAAGACAGTAAAACAATACTTTTACATAGGGACATATATGGATCTAACATGACTATTAACTTTACATAATTTTGAGCCATTAAATCGCTTCTTGATATTTATCAAAACGCAATACAAAAATGGATTTGTTAAATTGACTCTTTTTAGATCTTACTTAATCATACTAACATTATAAATGCGAAAGTTTAGATGGATGGATGTTTGCTAGAGTTTGTAGCCTAAACTAACCTCAATGAAATTTGTCATACATGTAGAGGATAGTCTGGAAGAATGCATAGGCTACAATTGTATTTTTTAATTCGACGCGGACAGAGTCGCGAGCGAAATCTAGTTGTTTATAGTTAGAGTACGTAAAAATAATGTCGGTTGCTCAAATAAGGCAAACCAACTTTTGCTTCACTTTAAAACAGGCTTGGGGAATGGTTATTTAAAAAAGATGTAAAAAGAGGTTTGACGTCTATCCTCTGTCTAACTAGAAGATGGCGATTCTGTAATTGCATGGGGGCAGCGAACGTACAACACCAAGACAACTTACTATTCACCTTCTTTCGTAGAAAACATACCTTAAAATTGCCGCCATTGAGCCACATGACGAGCGAGTCCAACAGCTGCGCGGCGACATCAAAGGTGAGATCTGGCTCCCGGCGTACAAGCGCCACTAGCTGCTCGCCGAGCTGCTGCCGCACCCGCAGGTCCGGCCGGCTCAGCAGCGGCAGCGCGGCCTCCAGTGAAGCCGGCTGCGGGTAGTGCGCCATCTAGTGACGACAAATACACACATTAATACTGTTTACACGTAATAAATTTTTATATTTGAAAATATAATAAGAAACTCATCTTCTACTCAATAACTATTCTTATTTTAAACACACATGATCAGTAGTAGTAGAAGTATCCGCAAAAGGAAGAGGTACAGTCGGACAATCTAGCGGTGTTCTACGCCAAAGCTTTAAGTCTTTTAAACTTTTTGTACACTGAAACGACGCGTAACAATAACCAATAGGGGGCAGCCTTTTAAGGTGTCTTTGACAAATGGTTGGTCAATGGTAATTATTGGTTTTGATTATTAACTTGTGATTTGCGCTACTTGCTACCTGATTTGTAAGAGGCGAGGCTTGTCAGTTTGGGAGGAACTAGGCAATTTATCAAAGAGAACCATCGCGGATTCCCTCGACTGTACAAATATCACATATTTTGAAGGACATTATGACTATAGTGCGGTTGTAACACAATTCTTTACACATATTTTCCTTATACATGTATGGACAATCATTCAAGTTGCGTAAACAAGAATTAATAGTGGAAACCCACTGGAATACATGTAAGTACATCGCGTGTTGTATTGTATCGTGCTTCTCTTATACTTAGTATGCATCTAGGACCTAGAATGTCGCTGCCTAGACTCAGGACACGAAACGGACTTAATTTAAATCAGTGGTCATTAAACTCTACCATAATGTCGTCTATTCCATTGTTAATTATAACTTTTGGTCGTAAACTTTTAACAAAAAGCCTCTAGTTTTGTTTTGTTTCTGCGTGTAAATATAAGGCCGATTACCCTATCAAATTTAAATATATATTGCGTGAGTGCGAAGGAACCAGGTGAAAACCAGCGCAGGAACGGCTTAGTCTCCCGTGCATACGCTAAGCTGACTACCTTTTGCCACGATTTGTTTTCTTTAGAATTAGTCCATATATGTAATTTCTTCTGGTGGCAATAAATACATATTCATTCATTCAAGTCTCAAATTATCAGGTGAATTCGTAGTAAAGAACTAATTTAAACGCAACTAAAGTTACATACCATAGATGTTCATAAAAACAATTCAATAGACATTACAACAGCAAAAAATAAACATTACTTCTCTGTGCTTGTCTACATTTACTTAAAAACAACTCTGATACTGCCGACCTAGTTTTATTTATACGAGCAATTAATTATAAAAAACAAGGGCATCTTGGACTACATTACGAGGGACCTGTTATCGCACTCGGCAAGTCATTGTAAAGGGCCGCAATTTCGTTTTGCCCAAATATTCATGTTTCAATGCCAAAGAGCTACGGGCGCATCAAGGTTGACCTCTACCCACCCCTATCTATTAATGGTCGATTTCCCAGCCACATTTAACCAATCATCAGTATTTTTAGTTCGTTAACTTCATGAAAAGTTTCCGAACTTTAGTTTTTATCCGTTGAAATACAGTTCAACATAACACTAATGCATCACTAGGTGATGGTAAAATAAATGGGAACTTCAGAAAACCAGCATAAGTGATGTCATAGTACGTCACGTCAAAGCTAGTGACGTGACATTGTGTCACATTGTGTTGACAAAAATCTTCTCTTTCATGGGCTTGAAGCCAATAGTTGGTACACTTGCATGTGTGTTTACAAGCATATCTAACCGCTAACTGGCATGCATAGGTAATACATTTGATTTTGTGACACCTACAAGTATGCAAGTCAAAGTAAGGGGGAGAGCGACAAAACTTTACACTGACAGTATATAATACTAATCATACTAATATTATAAATGCGAAAGTTTAGATGGATGTTTGTTAGAGTTTGTAGCCTAAACTGCTGAACGGATCTAGATGAAATTTCGCATAGATGTATAACATAGTCTGGAAGGACACAAAGGCTACTTACTTTAGTTTTTTTAATTCCTCGCGATCGATTCCTGGGCTAAAGCTGACTGACATGTATTCCCGCAATCTGTTACTCTAAAGTAAGTCTGTGCACTTAAGTTACATAAAAAAAAATAATTATAACCAACTCACCGTTTAACGTCGTTTATCCACGTAGTAAATCCAAAATATCCACCTTTGCCACGTAACCGAGTGTCCGCACCCAAATAACTGTCATTGCACAAAACTAACCGGCACCGAAACCCACTACCACTAACCGTGCAACCACTACTGAGCACACAACCACTGCATTTTAGTCCACTGAGAATTAACACACTGTAAAAGAATACATACAATTAATAACTTTAAAGTTGACTTGTTGATGTCGTGTTTCGGAAGCGAATGTTTACTTTAGTTCAGGAGTCAAATATTACTGAGTTTGGAATTCCTAGGTCATAACCTTGTACTTGCCACGACTACAACGGAGTTACTAAAGACTTTAAATATATGCTACTTTAGATACTTTTAAAGGATAATCGAGAGTTTGAAACCGAATTATAAGTAAATCGTAATCGAAATATTCGAAGTATTTATTTCACGCAACGAAAAAACCTCAACATCTTACTCCTTACTAATTTTATAAATGCGAAAGTTTGGATGGATGTTTATTGTTTGTAGCCTAAAAAGCTGAACGGATCTCAACGAAATTCGTCACAGATGTAACATAGTTGAAGAACAGGTTACTTAACTATTTTTTTAATTCCGGACCGAGTCGCGGACGAAAGCTAGTTATAGCATAAAAGTGTCAATTTTAAGAGAACCTGTATTTTAATAAGTGATGGCGAAGGTTATTTTCGAATGTATAACAAGTTTTACCACATTCCATAGAGTCCAAATATTTCAACTTGCATTTATGCATTTTTAAAATAAATGCTCCTTGAATATGCCAAATAAATTTATGACAAAGGCATGAATTGATTTTAAGGCATAATTCTTTTCAATTATGTCTATTCTAATAGAGAGAATCCAAATTGAAATCTATCTGTCACTATCTACCGCAATTTTCTCTAAAACGGCTGGGCCGGTTTCGACGGGACTTTCACTGGAGGGTAGGCTACTTATTTTTTTAACTCCGCGCTGT